GCCATGTGCACTTTCGACTGCGCTCAAGTGCTGGCAGAATGGATCACTACTGTTCAAGAACGCGTCGGCCCCTACCTAGGTGTTCTTGGCCAGGATGACGTCGACCTCATGCAAGCCACCAGCCTTCTCTTACTCGAGGAAGAGGACTGCAAACTGTTGGGGAAGATCAAAGAGATTCTTTCCAGCGTTGAAAATAAGATGCAGAGAGAAGTTCAAAGCGGGGTAACCATGTCAGCCCTGAGCGTCCTACAACGCCTGCCTAGTGTTGTTGAGGGGGGTTATGGCAGCAAGATACTGCTTGCCACGGCAAGTCTCCTTGACCGGGCCGCTGTGTGGCCAGTGACAAAGCTTATGGCTCGATCACTAGAAGCCCAAGCTATGCGGCTCAAAGAGCGTGCTCAGAACTCGACCTTGGGAGCCAACTAGCTTTTTTAAAGGAGGATGACTTGATGGCTTTGTGATGCTGATCATACACTCTCTCCTAACAAATATTGCTTGGTAACCCTCCCAGACTGGCCGTGCTACCATGGATCGGCACTATTGGCTACCTCAGATCGTCCCTGCATCTCAGGCCTACGCCACACGCGTTTCATTGATTCAGACTCCTGACTGTTCCGCACCATTGTGCATCAGAATGATGGAGGGTGATTATTGAAGCAAGTAGGATCCTCTCAACAATCTCTCGAGTGCGATCAAGGGCGGATGACCTAGGAAATAACCCTTCTGGTAATCCTCGCTAGAATGCGCCTTTACCCTTTATGTCCTTTCCTGGCTGGTCGATACCAACAAAGCACGTGTTCGAAACAAGCTGACATACTGTTTGACGGTGCCCTTTCTCCCCCTACAACCCCTTCACGGATCACGCAAGTGCGATTATGTTTTATTATTGAGTGCCTCTTTCTTCTGATGCCGGTTTTCTGTGCCACTACCAAGAAATGTTCTGTGTATTTTTGTTTTGATTTGTCATATCTGGGAAAGGCGGGACCTTGACAACGACCAGGGAGGTTTAGTTGCTTGTGAACCTAACGACTGGGACATGGATCTTCACGATACCCCAAACCATTTCTGATGACTTGCAAGCATGACGATCCAATATTGAGACGATAAGTGCCATATGTTGGAGTTGGAGTCTTTGATTTATCATTTGTGCATATATTATATATAAAGCGTGTACATATTCAGACCATGTGAAATTGAGATCGAATGAGACTGGCATGTTGCTTCTATCGCTGTTCCGGGTTTAATATATATTATACACATCGTAATGAACACTACTCACTAGCAACAAGTATCATCGTTTCATAATCGCAGCCCTTCCGCCGTCTCCAGAAGCAACTGGCATCCCATATACTAGTTAGTAATCGAGAAGTGGCGTCTACTATAAAACCCTTCATCGAATCGCATTGATTCAATGCTTTTGCTCGAACATTCAAACAGCCAAATCCCTTTAAGGATTGATAAGGCCTACGGATTACCTAGTCACTGCAGTACCCTTTGCCTTCCACCAACGCCTACAGCTGAACCAATCCATTGTATATTTACCATGATCAATCCAAAACCTCATATCATCTGAATGGACATCATCATGAACACAATACAATGACTACCAACCCACCAATCATCTCCTGTAAGAAATCAAACGAATGAGAAACATGAACACCAATAAAATATATATAAAGCTCGAATTGATCATCCGTTCTACTTTTATACCATAATACACCATATACCGTAATAAAAATAACTACTACCGAATCTATACAATAAGTCTCTCGAAAGAGTACTTGCCCGCCGCTTTCCGCCGCAAATAACCAATCTCTCTGCTACTTCTCGTCTTGACCTCACCAGTGGACAGCTTGACCTTAGTCTTGCTGACATCGTTCGATCCGGCCTTGAGCGACAACGGCAACAGCTTGCCGCTGGCGTCACCCTCAAGTCCATCATCGTCCTCCGTAGCGCCGAAGACCATCAGGTCTGCGCCGTTGAGCTTCTCGAGCCGCACCATCGCAGAGGCAGGGGTATCGCTACCGGAGTCGACGGCGACGGTGGTGGTGGCGGAGCGGATAGCGCTGTTAGCGTAGCGGAGGTACTCGTGGAGAATGCCCTTGAGGTAAGTGGCCTCTTCGATGCCGGCGAGGGCAGCGGAGATTTCGGACTTCAGATCGGCGATGAGTTCCTGGTCGCGGGCTGTGATGGAGTCGTCGACTCCCGAGGCGGCGGAGATCCAGCCGGAGGGGCCGATGGCGTCGACGGAGGCGTTGAGGAGGTCGACGATGGTGGAGAGGGAGATCGGGGGGTTGGTTTGCTCGGCGGGGACGGGGATGGGAGGGGATTCGGTGAAGCGGGAGGTGTAGCCTCCTGTTGCGAGGGAGAGGCGGAGGTGGTGCACCATGGAGATGATCTCGGTGCGGGAGAGGGCGGAGCGGATGGAGGTGGTGATGGCGGGGAGGGGGTGGCGGTGGATCTTTTCGAGGGTGGTGTTGAGGGCAAGGAAGATGTTTCCGAGGCTGGGTTCGGCGTGGGAGAGGGCCAGGGACTGGGTGGTGACTTCTTGGTCTTGGTCTTCCCCGTTGGTGAGCGCCTTGGGGGCTTCCTCGTCGAGGGTGACGGAGCGGGAACGAGCGGTGTTGATGAGGAGCTTGAGGATGTAAGCGAGCTCGTCGGTGGAGAAGAGGACGCGGCCTTGGAGGACGTCGATGAGGCGTTGGAGGGATGGGTCCGATTCGGTCAGGGCTTGGATGAAAGATCCGGTGGGGAGGGAGGGGAGGATACGGGGCTTGAAGGATCGACGGAGAGCGATCTCGACGTTGTTCGGGGACAGGTGGCCGATCTGGATGAGCCATTGGCAGGTTTGCTGGGGCCACAGGTTGATGGACAAGCGGAAGGAAGACGAGGCTGACAGTTGGTCCTGGCTCGAGGCATCATCTTTCAGCTTGAATATCAGGGACAGAAGATGGACTGTTGTCTCCGGGTTGACGTAGTCCTCTGGTGAAGGGAAGCCGTTGGCACCGAAGTAGGCCAGTACTGCACGGTCGAAAGCATCGGCGTCCTGGGCCTCGGAGCACTGGTGGAGGTCAGCAGTCAGCTTGTTCCAGCGCTCGACTTCTTCGGGCGATGAGAGACCCAGAACTGCTGTATCCTCGGTGCGATGCTTCTTGGCGGATCCGATACCCCGGCCGATAGCGTCGATTAGCAAGCCATCCCTGGACCGTTTGAGGGAGGGGTTGGCGGTGTTGTGCGACGGGCTCAAGTCGAAAGCGAGCAGAGTATTGTCCTTGGTAGCAATGGCAACTCCCAACTTGGCGTAGTAGCTAACAAACGTTGTGCGCGCCTTGATGCCGGAGGCACTAGCTGGAATGTCGCCGACAGCGATGCTGCGCTGCACGGATTTGTATTGCGTGTCGTAGACGGCGATCATGGACTTGCCGGCACCGATCACGGACTGAGGGGAGATGCGCATAAGGGAAGAAAATTCCTCGTTCTCAAGAATGAACTTGGAGGTCATGGTGGGAGTGTACTGGGAGAGATCGAAGTTGATGTATCCCTGTCCGAAGGAAACGTTCAGCCCAGCTGATCCAGCATGGAAGTACCACTGCGAGCCACGGGTCTCGATCGTCTCAGGCCCATCAATGTCAGGGAGGTTGAATGTGATCAAGTGGCGCATCTTCTGGCTTTCGTCGTGGCCCGAAGAGGAGGCATTGGCCGGAACGGAGAACATCTGGACCTTCACGTCGCTCAGTTTCGTGTGCTGAGAGCCAATGGGTTGCGAAACAAGCAACAGCACCGAGGGTTCGTCGACACCGGTCTCTGTAAGGTTTCCGAAGGCTAGGGCGGCCAGATCTTGTCTGCGCTTGAACAAGGACTTCTTCGCATCTTCGAATTCGACGAGGAAACATGAGCGGATCTCATGAGTTGTGGTGGTTTTAGCGACCTCGCTGTGCCGTAAGCTCCAATGCTGGGTCTTCAGGTCCGAAGACAGGCGCCGGACGCGACCGTCTTGATGAACAGCCAGAACATCGAACGATCCTTCCTCTTCCTCCTCTTTAGACTCGGTTGGAACAATGCCAACAAAAACCGCAGGACTTTCCGAATCGGTCACTGAATACGACGAGGAGCCGATGGAAGGCGCACTAGATCCGTTCCCGCCATTTTCCTCCACGAAAGACTTAATCTGCTGTTTCACGGCGACGTAGGTCTGCCTCCTGACAAGAGACTTATTGATCTTTCTGCGCACCGAGCAGGGCTGGCAGGAGAACGCGGACTGGGGTGGGACGGCGTAGGAGGTCACCAATTTGGGTGTTTGGATCTAGAGAGAGTCGGCGAGTCAGTCTCTATTATCCTGCCAATGCTGAGTTTTGAAGTTCATGCATACGTTGTAGATATTCACGGCCTCTCCATCGACCGCAACGACCACTTCATGTCTCTTGCGCTTTTTCGAGTCGGCCAAGCTATGCACCTCGCCCAGGTGGGTTTTACCGGTAGAGGCATGCAACGGGCGCGGCAAGTGAGCCAGCACCGACGGGGGCTGCAGATCCATGATTGTAAGAGCCGGTCCAAAGAAATGCGATCAAAGCGCGACCGTTCTCGCCGAAGAGCTGAGGCACCTTGAACTTCTTGCAGAAATCCATTCTGTATGGCTTCCCGAAAAATTTCCGGGCTTACGTTGCGCCGATCTCCGGGCGGTGTCTCCCAATGGGGTTAGGGGCCACATGACTGCGGGTCATGTATGGATTGGGTATGGTATGAAATGACGTCCAAGGCGGGCATTATTGGCTCTCTCGGTGGCCGCGCGGAAACACGCGCTGCTTCGCGTCGATTTCGTTCCTTAATTGCTTATCGTTGCTGCAGCTGAGAAGCTGACTCTAAACAATATCCTAACTATCCGCTCCTTGCCATTCTTACCCCCGTTCATGTCTTGATTACTCCTTTTACCTAATTATAATTCCTTCAGATGATGAGCACTGGCTCATCTCATGGACGCATCGTGGTGAGCCAGATTTAGTATGGCTATGGGACAGGGAGAGCAACGTGCAATCCATCCGTTCTTTCGAAGAGGTTTTTGTTCCCTTTGGCTTTTCCATGTCCATTGATGCTTATATTCTACAGAACTTGGGATATCCACGAGCCCAATTAGTCAAACACCCGTCGGCAATCACTCCTACGAGGGCCCGGAGCTTCTGCACAAACAACCGCCCAGCAACCATGTCCCTGCCCTGTCCTCTTGCCCCGAACCGTCCCCTACGCCTGTTGCAACACTAGATCATGACCCTAACGCCGACCGGAGGAAGAGACGGAAAACAGACAAGGAGAAGTCGAACCCAACAACGTCGGGTCAGGGATCTGTGATGAATTATGTCATATCCAAAGATGCGCGATCTCAGGATAAAGATACCACCTCAGTTGCAAGCGAGAATGCAGATACGGCCGATGATGGCCTGGTGTCTCCGGAGTCCAAGCCAGAGTCCAAGACTGGCACTGAGCCCGCTACCCCTGCTTCAGAGGGGGTGGACACGACTAAACAAGGGCCCAATCACGAGCTTGCAGCCGGCACTACGCATGAACCGGTGACAGAAAGAAGGTCACCTCGGCAAAAAACGATCAAATTGAACCCTAACGGAAAGTTGTTACCTTCTCCTGTGGCAGTTAAGTTCGAGGATAAGCCGAAGAAGACGAGGACCAGCAAGCGTAGCAAGGTGGACTCCCAGAAACTTACCGGTTCCGAAAGCAGGATGGTGATCATCCGATACGGCATGGAAAATAGTGCGAGGGAACGGGTGGGAAAGCTGATTGACGACATACTTGCTGGTCACAAGAAGCATGGCGTCAAACAGGCCTCCCAGCCTGTGGCCCCCGCCTCTTCTACAGTCGCACAACAGCCACAGAGACCAACTCATCCATTCTTCCTGAAGAAGTCCACGCGCAAGCAAGACACCACAGACTCGCAGTCCCGAGAACCTAATTCTACCAATACACAGCCCTCCATGGGAACAGGACTTACAGCGCGCCCATTTCCTGGCCAGGATACAGCATCAACAGCCGTTCCTTCCACCACTTTCACATCGTTTAAGCATCGTCGCTCCAAGTTTCCAGAACCTATACAGCCAATTTGGCCTCCGCGCGACCTAGTCCATGTCCGAGGCATCGAACACAACACCCAAAATACAGCCACTTCCGACCCCGTGATGCGGGATTTGAAGAAGGCAAAGATGGCTGCTATTAGCATTCATGACAACGAAAGCGTACTTGTACACCAAATTCGGCAATACTTGTCAGTTCCTCCGCAAAGTCTGAGGATTCCCTCTAGACACGTCGCTAGCGGCAAGGTTATACAAACAGCCGTGACCAGACAACTATCGGCATCTTCTCACGACAAGAAGACGCTCGTGGGAGCCTGTCACCCAGCCCTTAGAAAGCTCCATTCCTCGCTTCCCAGCTACATGACTCCGTTCGATCAAGGGGCATTCGAAACGTTGAATTGGGCTCAGAAGTATGCTCCTCAATCGGCTGACCAAGTTCTCCAAACCAGCAAGGAAGCATACATGCTCCGGGACTGGCTGAAATTTCTTATGGTTACAACAGTCGACACCGGCAAATCCTCCAAGGGTGATGAAAAGATAAGGAAAAGTGCCGAGGAGAAGAAACGAAAGAAACGCAAGAAAGAGAACCTGGACGGCTTTATTGTCTCTAGCGAAGACGAGGCATACGAATTGGACCCGATCAATGAATCAGATGATGAACTAGCAGGAGATGTCACCACTAAGAGAACGCTGGTCCGGTCCAATGACTTGGCTCTGAGTTCGAAGTCAGGCGCTGATAGAGCTCGCGTATCCAACGCAATTCTCCTCAGTGGTCCTCCGGGGTGTGGTAAAACGGCGTCAGTGTACGCGGTGGCAAGAGAACTTGATTTTGAGGTTTTCGAAATCAACCCGGGTAACCGCCGTAGTGCCAGAGATATCGTGGAGCGTGTGGGTGACATGACACGAAATCATTTGGTCCATAACGCGAAGACTGGCGAAGTTTCCGTCGTAGATGGGCCGGATGAAGCGCCACCCGATCACAAGCAAAACAAACTGATGGGCTTTTTCAAATCTGGAGTCGCTAAAGACTCCAACGGGGCTCCCAAAGTTGACGCAAACAGCGCCACTCAAGTGGCCAACATCAAGCGCTCTCGGAACCAGAAGCAATCACTTATTTTGTTGGAGGAAGCTGACATTCTTTTCGAAGAAGATAAGCAATTCTGGTCCGGAGTCATGACACTAATCAACCAGTCGAAACGTCCTATTATCATAACATGTAACGACGAGAAACTTATCCCTCTTCAAGACATAGGATTTCATGCCATCCTTCGCTATCGACCTCCTCCACTAGACCTTGCTGTCGACTATACCCTCCTCCTGGCTGCAAATGAGGGCCACATGCTCAAGCGCAACGCTGTTGAGGACCTGTATGCGAGCAACGGCAGAGACCTTCGACGGACCGTCACGGAACTCGGATTCTGGTGCCAAATCGCAGTCGGGAGCGAAAAGTCTGGTCTCGATTGGATCATCGACCGGTGGCCGCGGGGCTCAGATCTCGACCAGAATGGCGATCCGCTCCGAGTGCTGAGTTTGAACACTTACGAGCCACACATGGGCTGGTTTAGTCGCGATATGTTGATGTGCGACGGCATAGACGCTGATATAGAGACCCAGCGCGAGGCCTTCAATTGGTGGCAGCTCAGCACCCAAGAGTCGGAGAGTAAAGCTGATGCCAAGTCTAACCTTTCCAAATCGCCATTGAACCCAGATTCGGCCACAACGAACGCCGAGCGGCTTGATCAGTTACGGCAGGCGTCCGAGTTCATGGACATGAAGAGCGACCTGGATATTCTTGGCTCCTCTTGCTCGATCGAAGCCAAACTGGTAAGCCATGACGTCTGTCATACTATCTTGATACCAGACATTGACTTTTTCTTTAGGATATCGTGGATACTTCGGCTCCTTTCATGCCCGAGAAGCAGCGATCGAACTACGCTGAAGGCTACACCTTACTCGACACCTCTCTCGTACCTGACTATTCGCAGACGCAGACTGCCATTGCTTGTACATTTGAGGTCCTACTTGGGAGAGCCTTTCGGCATGAAGATGGACAGGACGAGGCCGCTCGAGCCGCCCAGGTGCTAGAGAACGTCGCTAGGCCCGAGTCTGCGAATACGTCCGAAGCAGGTCTTCTCTCCGCATTCGCGCCCATTATGCGGGCTGACCATGTGTTTCCTGCACCTACGGGACGCCTGGCCCCCTCATTTGAGAATGGACTAGCGCCTATCGCCGAAGATCTAGGCCCTTACATTCGGGGGATCATGTCCTATGACATGCGTCTCGCACGATATCGCCATCTGCTAACGGGCGCGCTCTCCGAGGACCAGAGCGGTACAAAACGCGGGCGACAGACCAGGGCTAGCCGAGCGGCGCTAGAAGGAGGGAGCAAAGCTCACACGCGGAAAGAAAGATGGTTCGCATCCGATGCGAATCCATCATTGATCCTAGCCACTGGCAAGCCAGAATGGCAAGATGTCTTGGTGCAGAAGGGATATTTTACGGTCCCATCCAGTGGGGAAAGCATGCCGGAATGCCATGAGCAAACATCGGAGAGTTCAAGTGAAGGGGGCATCTAGTGGCGGATAGATACACGAGGTGGACACGACTGCATTCTCTAAGCGAACGTATATAGATACTTAGATACCAGATTAATTAGAATATTATGCGCAAGATGTGTTGTTGATGACAGAGTAAAGTGCAGTTGAACCATGGTTGTCGAGGGGGTTCCTTGACTTGCCAGCCGCACTAGCGCCTCCCGCCGGTGGAGCGCCGACTTTCCCCCAAAGAGACAGACACTCACTCACTTGCACGCGTTGCTGCTGTCTTATCATCCAACCCCCCGAGGAAGAGCAGGCCCTTTTCCCTCGCTGGTACCCGATTGTTCATCGCTATCATTTCAATCGGCTGCCTACTATTGTCTACATCTGCTTGATCTGTTGCTCTCCAACCCTCCGTGGCCGTAGAGGTGTCTGTCGTGGTGGTGCCCTTTTCGCGCAACACTTATCACCTCATTGCTCCTCTCCGACCGAGCTCCGCTTCGTCACTGCCTATCAACAGTCGCATCCATCGTCCCCAGCCACCACCGTCTCCATGTCTCTGTTCGGCACTTCGCCGGAGGACTCTCCACTGGCTAATTCAGCCCAGAGGTCCAAGGCCTCCCTTTTCGCAGACGAGCCGCCGTATGGCAGCAATACGGGCAATGCGAGCTCCTCCCTGTTCGCCGATGACGACAGCTCCGGCTCACCCTGGATGAGTAACACCAATAAGAGAACCTCCAAGGAAGAGATCGTGAAGACCCTGCTGCCAGATTCCGATGTCCCTGAGAGCTATATCGATGCGTATGATCTAGTCCTTAGTGCGGGGGACCGCGTTGGAACCGGTGTCGGGTTGACGTCCGTTCGGGAAATACTGTCGGGCAGTGGCCTGAGCGCCACCGATCAAGCGAAGATACTCAACCTTGTTATCTCGGGCGATAGTGACAGCTCCAATGGTCTTGGCCGGGGAGAGTTCAGTGTCCTACTAGCGCTCGTGGGTCTTGCGCAGGAAGGCGAGGACCTTACGTTTGATGCAGTGGACGATCGACGCAAGAGTGAGTTGGCGCTGAAACTTGTCTACTTTAATTAAGCCACTAACGGGCGCGGCGTGCAGAGCTCCCAGTGCCGAAAAGCTCTTACCTCGACGCATTGCGCGCCAAACAGGAATCATCGGCTACACCTGTCCAGTCACAAGACCGACCCGCTACGCCTCCTCCTCCTCCTTCCTCTGCCCCCTTACGAGAACCGAGCTCGACTCAGTCGCGACGATCTGCCCGAGGATCGATGGGTAGCTTAGAGGCGGATCCGTGGGGTAGTCCCCAGCTGCACCGTGGTCACAATCACACCCAGACCGAATCTGAGCACGCCGTCTTGAATGGGTTTGGGAGCGTGCGATCGGGATTCAATGCCTGGTCGAGTAGGGCCAGTGAGGGGGATCATACACACGGAGCGTCTGATAACGGCCGTGCCAATGGCCATGCCGATGCTCCACCTAGCAATACTGGATTTGGATGGGGCGAGAGCGCGGGGAATACATCTGAGGGCAGTGGTGGTGGACTAGGAGGGCCTGTCCGAGCAGGACTTGGAGGCTTTGGCTCCTCTGGAAGTGATCAGGGCGAGCCTAATCCCCGTCGACGGTCGTTGGGGATAGGCCGGGTCAGCAGCCCCCGTCTAGAAGAAGTCATAACGATAACGCTGCTCCCGGAGAAGGAGGGTATGTTCATGTTCCAACATCGCAATTACGAGGTAAAGTCGGCGCGTAGGCAGAGCACGGTCGTGCGACGGTATAGCGATTTTGTCTGGCTCCTGGACTGCCTTCACAAACGGTACCCATTCCGGCAGTTGCCTTTGCTTCCACCCAAGAGACTTTCAGGTACGTTTGAACAAAGCTTGTTAAAAGCTCTCCAAGATTACTTACCTGGTAAAAGTCAATGGCACTCACCTTGCAGCGGATTCCAATTCCTTCCTTGAGAAGCGTCGCAGGGGACTCGTCAGATTCACCAATGCCCTCGTTCGTCACCCGGTTCTCAGCCAGGAACAGCTGGTCATTATGTTTCTAACCGTCCCTACGGTATGTCTGATTTTGGTGTCTCGATCTGGGTACTTCTAGCTGGGGAAGCTAATGCTGGGTAGGAACTTTCGGTGTGGCGTAAGCAAGCCACAATATCAGTACAGGATGAGTTCACCGGCCGAGCCTTGCCTCCCGATCTAGAGGACTCATTGCCATCGGACCTCACGGACATGTTCGATACGGTTCGCAGTGGGGTCAAGAGGTCTGCGGAGGTATACATCAACCTATGCACTTTACTCGAGCGTCTAGCCAAGCGCAATGAGGGGCTTGCCGCGGATCATCTGCGGTTTTCTCTTGCCCTTCAGTCGCTTACTGAGATGACGCGTGACACGTATGCCTTTGACACCAATGACGTGCCGTTGCTCAATGAAGGCATTAAGGCCACCGCGAGGCATCTCTCGGCCAGTCAAAGCTTGCTGGAAGATGAAGCACGAGCCTGGGAGGAAGGGATGCTGGAAGACCTTAAGCGCCAACGGGACTGCCTGGTCAGCGTTCGCGAGATGTTTGACCGGCGGGACCGTTATGCGCGCAACAACATCCCTCAGTTAGAAAAGCGGATTGAGAACAGCGAGAGAAAACTGCAAGAATTACGGGCGCGGACCCAGCCGGTTAAGCCAGGGGAGATTGAGAAAGTAGAGGAATCAATTGTCAAGGTATGGACTTTTTACCATTTTTGGAGAGGATATAGTGGGGGATACGAGGAATGGAGAGGCTGACCTTGCATGTTACTGCTGTAGGACAAGGAATCAATTGTGCATCAGCACGCACGTGGGGTGTTCATCAAGGAATGCATCCGCAACGAACTTATGTATTTCCAACAGAGCCAGTATCACATCAGCCGGCTTCATCAGGACTGGAGCCAGGAGCGAGTGAAATATTCGGAGCTGCAGGCTGACAATTGGCGGTCACTGAGCGATCAAGTGGAGGGCATGCCACTGGGTGATTAGACTTCGACCGGGCCCAGTCTGTTCCCCGTGTCGCTGTTAGCGCGTATGTCTCGATAAATGTGTGTGACTTGTCAATGTGGGAATTACCGGCGGTAGTCTTTGCTCAGAATCTTGTCACGTTTATTTGCTTCTCACGCGCATAATGTCTCGCTTATTTTCCCCTTCTGTTCCGCTGTGTTTGCTACGACGCTGTTCCATCTATGCTGCTGTGTTGTTTAGCCTGAAATCTGTTGTCTTCTCCTTGATTTTCTTTGGCCCGTGATGTGTTTGTTTGTCATGCTTCCAAGCGACTCCTGTTCTCTCCGTGGTCGGCTGCAGATTGCAGGGATGATCTTTTGACACATGGTTGGGTTGCTTTTTGGGACTGACCTGCAGGAGAGAGAGAACACACTTGCATGCAGAACCAAGTCAAATCAGGCATTCATCGTGGGTCCATCTGTCTGTCTGCCTCGTGCTGGTAATTTTTTCTCCCCCAGGTGACTTGAGTTGAGGTGACTGGTGGGTTATTCCGAAATTTTCCATGAGTAGTAAGTAGTAGACCCAACAGGCACTGGAGCTATATCCACGCATTGTGTAAATGCTGCGTAGTACTCGAAATCGATTTTACCCCCAACCATCACCATAAACAAAATAATCGCCAACCACTCAACCACAAGAATATCAATTGAGCTAGTACTAGTAGTTTGCCAGTACTACGTACTAGTAGCTAGACAATGTAGTATTCGCGCGCTAGCCGGGTTAAATGAAACCGAAGACATCGTCACCCACAGTACCCCTGACCTCATTGGCTGGTTACAGAACTACGAAGTTAGTAGTTGCAGTCAGGAACCAAGTAAGTTACTACATACATAGTACATACGTATCAATTCTCGAGTCATTCAGTTCCTGCCTGTTCACGTGGAACTCATTAGTATATTATTATGCAGGTTACTGCATATAATGACTAGTTAGTTGATTGATGAGCAGTACTAATACTACTTAGTAGTAAGGAGTGGTAGTAATCGGTTATCTGTAAAGTACTTAGTCTCTGACTGACTCAAACAAGATCTGTATTCTGCAGATGCAGTAGATAGATAGATCGATTCATCGGTGGATATCATCATACTAGTACTTGTACTTCAGGTTTGGGGGTGGAGATGGTGTTATTGATGCCTGCATCGAATTTGTTTTTCCTTCTGACTTTGTTTTTCCTTCTTTCCAATATTTCAATTGAAGTTGCGACTACTACTACTATATAGTACTGCTAGCCCTGGAAGAATCTTAGTGGTGAAAATGTTTAGAGATGAGGAGGGTGGTTGACTCTGATACTATTACAATGGTCGATGGGTTTGTGTTACCTTCCCAAGTATATTATTACTACTATTGAACTTCAATAGTGCTATTGAGGGGACTAGAGGGGGTAGTGTGGTGATATTGCGATAGTGGTGGTATTTTGCTTTTTGTTATTATGCTGATAAGTGATCAGCCACGGTGCTTTTATCAACAAACTTTCTGATACTAATTGCATAATTGCATTTGCCATAGTATCCCGGTTGTGACAAGGACAACTATATTTGATGCTATGATTTAGTCGTTTCTCTATTGTATTATGACTTGGTTGTCAGTAAAAATTGAATGTGACAAGTCGGCTTATGTTCACTGGCTAGTTGGTATTGCAGAATATACTACTGCAGCACTGTAGCAGATGTAGTAAGTATATAGAAAAGTGTTATATGAAAGTAACAGTATACAATTAAATAGAGTTCCAAGCATCTCGATTATGCTTCAATGCTATCATCTTACTGTCATGTCCACTTGACCACCTCCGCGGGGTTGCAATGGCAGACTCGAGTCTCCAAATGAAGTGCAGACATAATTGAGTTTGCCTCAAAGCTTATTTGGCATGATGGTGGGAGACACTCAAGAGTGCCTTCGTCGAGGTCGAGGCAACTACCTATCGTGTTTAACGTGATAGATCTATCCAACTTGTCTTGTTCTTTCATTATTTTCAGTATTCCCCTGCAGCTAGTAGTCAACCTATGAAGGCTTTTCTCCATGCAGGTCTCTCAACGGCTAGAATTGGGTCTCCATGCCTGCCAAGGCAAACGGGCATTGGATTGGGCTCTGTTGTGAACTTTACTCTGTTGTGAACTTTATTCTTGTTCATTCTTTGTATGTACGGGTTGAAGGTACGGTGCAGCATCACATACTTAGCATGCACACCTACCTTCCTCGTGCAGTGTAGACAATATTTAGCCGCCGTAATAGCATAGAGCAGAGTCAATTGTTTGCACAGCCTACCTGCCACTCATTATGCAAGTTGCAAGTGTTTGGTGCGCTAATTATAAGCGGACATTTTCAGTCTGTCACACTCACACATTACTTACCAAACCAGGAATACCTGCATGGGATATGGCTGCTGTTGTCTAGACCAGACACGTCAGGGTAGTGTAGGTTTTGTGGAGGTGAAATGGATACGCAGCATGTTGTTTGCGGGCTTTCGGTCTGTTTCGTGCTCTTGTAAGCATATCGAGGAGAGATTCTCATATGCAGTAGAAAGGTAATGGCTATTTTTGGATGTCTGTCACTGGTTTTCACCCGCCCAGTTCCGATCCTAGTCCACAAGCATAGGCATTGGGATAAAATCTGTATAAGTTGGATGGTATGGCGAGCACTTCAAGTCAATTCTTACTGAGTTCCAGTGAAGAGCTTGAACGGTAGAGTCCACTATGAAGGCAACAGAAGGAGTAAGCGAAGATGTACCTGTTCTAAGTATCTGGTGGTACCTGACTCGCTGGATCTAGTCCACACTAGACCAAACCGGAACAGTCAATCAGAGTGCTTTCCCTGAGGGAGAGTAATCGGAGAGCGCTGGACCTGGAATGGAGACGGAAGTGGGTGGATTGATTGAACTACCACTGACTTACCAGAATGGTACTAAGCGGAAAGAGACCGTGGGCGAGGCAGCGTAAGTGGCGGGCGAGAGAAGAAGTTCAAGTGGGCAGGAGGCAGATGGACGGAGGGGCTACTCCCCACTGTGGAGCTGACACTAACGGGTTAGTGTGGCTCACCGCCAATAAAGACCGGCAGGAAAAGTCTCGGCAGCCTCGCAGGGCGAAGAGCGATAAGCCCCCCGGCTTGCCCGAGCGGGTAAGGTGGGTGATGTTGGTGCAGTGGTGCAGCCCCGATCTCATGTAGAGAGAGAGAGAGAGAGAGAGAAAGGTCATGGTACGTGATTGGTACCAGCTGGTGTGTATGTGTTGAATGATGATGAAGAGAATGTTTTGGTGACAAGTGACTGGTGACACGGTCTCCCTTCACACCTGTCATGGTCTGGAGCAGCAATGGAGATGAGGGTTTGACACGAGATCAAGCTTATCCTGCATCAATCCATCTGATACATGCCACAAAGTTGGCTAGTTACAGTATCTAGGCCTTCCATCTATCGAGTTATCTATCTTCCAGGTTACACGGGAAATCTCCCCAGCGGTAGGTCAGATCGGGGGAACTAGTCTGGGGCAAAAGAGACAGGTGGTACTGCTGCTGATTGATGTTCGGGAGAAGTAAGAAAAATCGGCTACTTATCTACTTAGTACATCGTGACTACTGATGGATGGATGGATGGAAGGAATCAGGTCCCGGAGGAACCGGGAAGGAGAAAGAGAAAGCCGAGTTGAAGAGCGGGTTCAACTTCTACGCGAGGTCACCAAGTGGGATGGCCAACCAAGTACTCTTTGTAAATGCCAAGGGATACTCGGGAAATGAAGGAAGAGAAGGAGAGGGAGAGAGAGTAAGCTGAGGATGTGTAGAGTGTAGAATACACAGCTGGGTAAGAAGAAAAAAAGTGACTAGAAACGGGCGAGAAGAGGAAACGAAGCAATCTAAAAACGAGAGTCCCGCTCTGCCAAGCCTTAAAATTGTTCGTTCCGCGAACGACCATGGATCCTCCCTCTTACTCTCTCTCACTCAGTCACTCTCTACTGACTAAAACTAAACTTTAGTTTTACAGTGGCAGAGAAATAGGGAAAAGAAAGAGAGTTATTCGCACCATTCCCCGCCCAGTCTGATCCGTGCTTTTCTGATTCCTTCGCCCCCCGTCACCTTTTCCTGCGTAATCGCATTCGTTTCGGGTGCTGGGCTGCATTCCCAACCTTCGCATCAAATCAAGCGTCACGATGCCGCTCGGGCACTGGGTCTCGGGCTTGGTTTTGGTCTTGGTATCCCTATCATCTTCATGAAGGAAATTTCCGGTCTTCTGGTCCCGGCCATTCGCCAGTCTTTGCCCAGACGCCCAGTCGTTCTTGGTTTTTTCTTGTCCCTCCACGCTTTTACTGCCTTGATGTTTGTGCTGGGCTGAGAGAAACCTGGAGCTTCTCTTTTCTTTCCCCGTCTCTACTTGCTACTACTTACTAGTCTACTTCCCTACTACTTCTCTTCTCTTCTCTCCCGCCCTTTCTTTTCTTGGGACGCATTTCCTCTTACCTACTTCCTACTTACTAACTTACTCCTCCCCTAACTCCCCGGTCTTTCCCTCTTTTCCCTGACCGCATCCCTCTTAACTATTTACCTCTCTCTCTCTCTTTATTCTCCATCTTGAGCGGTTCCCTTTTCTGGCGGAGTCGGTCAGTATTATCGGAGATCTTCCGGATAAACCATCCATTGCCTCTTCTGGTAAGCCCGGAACCTCTCTCTCTCTCTCTCTCTCTCACTCACCCTCCCTCCCTCCCACTTCATAGTCTACTTTCCTTCTCGATGGTTACACGGACCAACTCTTTTTCCTTTTTTTCTCCTTCTGCTACCATCCCTTTTTCTTCCTTTTCCCCGGAACTTATCTCACGTCCAGCGCTCACCTAGGCATCTCATCTTCCCCCCTTGCAGGACGCACCCGCGAACGCCCTTGGAAACGACCGCGCCGCCTCGCCCCCCTCCCTATCCTCCTCCGTCCTCGCCTATTCTCCGCGGCCTCCGTCGCCCTCCAGCTCGGTCCGCGTTTCCTGATCCCCCGAGGTATGCGGGAACCCGGCGCGTTGGTTGACTACAGTTGAGGTGGATCTCCCTTGCTTGAATTGCGCATTGGTCCGATCGGTGGAGGTAATTCCGGGATTTACGGCGCCTGGTGCAAGGCTATATCGGGGTGAAGATCACGGGCTGCGCGGGGAGGAATTAAATCAAGCCATCCCGCAGCTCGAGCAAGCGCCCGCCGCACGACCTCTGTAGCTAGTTCGGTATCCCGTCCGCCCGTCGCAACCATGGCGTGGGACCATTTGGACATCGATAAGCCGCATTTGGCTTACATGATTCTAGGTGGCTTCACCAGTCTGTTCATGCTGTGCTCTTTGTTTGTCAAGGAGAAGCTGTACATCGGTGAAGCCACCGTGGCTACCCTTTGCGGTATCATTTTCGGGCCTCATGCGGCCAATCTGTTTAATCCCAACTCGTGGGGCAATGTCGACAAGATCACCCTCGAGTGCTCTCGCATCGTCCTGGTCGTCCAGTGTTTTGCCGTCGGCGTCGAATTACCCAAGGCGTACATGGAACGTCACTGGAAATCCGTCTTTCTGCTGCTGGTGCCCGTCATGACCTGGGGCTGGCTGGTGACGAGTCTGTTCATCTGGTGGATGGTGCCCCCCCTCTCCTGGCTGGAGAGTCTCGTGTGCGCCGCGTGCGTCACCGCCACCGATCCCGTCTTGGCCTCGTCCGTCGTAGGTAAAGGTAAATTCGCGCGACGAGTTCCCAAGCACTTGAGAGACTTGTTGTCGGCTGAGTCGGGCTGCAACGATGGCATGGCCTTCCCCTTCATTTACCTGGGCTTCTACATCTGGCGCTACCGCCCTAATGCCGGGGAGGTGTCGCTCAACTGGTTCTGCATCACTATCCTCTACGAGTGCGTGTTCGGCGCAATCTTTGGCTTCGTCATTGGCTACCTCGCGCGTCATTCCATCAAATTCGCCGAGCGCAAGGGCTTGATTGATCGTGAGAGTTTCCTGGTCTTCTACTTCGTGCTGGCCGTCTTCTGCGCCGGCTCAGGTAGTTTGCTGGGCATGGACGATCTCCTGATAGGTTTCTCGGCCGGTGTCGGCTTCAGTAACGACGGTTGGTTTACGGAGAAAACAGAAGAGTCGCACGTATCCAACGTCATCGACCTCCTGCTCAACTTGGCTTACTTTGTCTACTTCGGAGCCATCATCCCTTGGGAGGACTACAACAACCCGGATATTGGGCTCGTGCCGTGGCGGCTCGTAGTCATCGCTCTCCTCGTTATTTTCTTCCGCCGCATCCCCATCATGTTGATGTTGAAACCTATCATCCCAGATGTGAAAACGTGGCGCGAGGCCCTCTTCGCCGGCCACTTCGGCCCCATTGGTGTCGGAGCCATCTTCGCTTCCATCCTGGCTCGGGCGGAGCTAGAATCGGACAGCACGGAGCCCTGGTCTGAGGCTGATTTGCCAGGTCCGGGAAGTTCTAATTACTATATCATACAGCTGATCTGGCCCGTCACCACCTTCATGGTCATCTCCTCGATCTTGGTCCATGGTTCATCCATTGCCGTGTTCACGCTCGGAAAGCGCATCAACACCTTGACCATCACGCTGTCCTACACCACCGCCAACGAGGAGGGTCCTTCTTGGATGAACCGCTTGCCCCGCGTGCAATCCCTTGCCAAAGGATCCATGTCGTTCCGTAAACCGGATGAGGACGAATCGTCGAATGAGCCGGAATATCCCCCGGGAACCCTGCCCCCCATTGGTGTACCAGGTAATTTCCTGCGTCGGGTTCGCGACGAAGATACGGAGTCGACGGGTGGTAAATCTGCGCGGAGACGCCGCAGACGTCGCAGACGCACCGACGGCGCCGGCGGCCCGATCAGTCAGTCAGCCATTGCCCCTCAACGCACGCTGGAGACGGAGTCGGATGAGCAAAAGGAAAAGAGTGATGAATCCAGGGAGCGCGACAAGATCGAACGCGAGGCGTCCCCGCCCTCCAAGGAAGGCGATAAATTTGGACGCGAGCCTGCGCTCGAAGTTTATCTGGAAGGTCACAACATGGTTATGGAAGATGAAGAAGGCAACGTTCTCAAGGTTGAGGATATCAGTCATATGTCCACTGAGGAGCAACAGCGTCATATGGAAGAACAACGCCAGAAGTTGCAGCAACAATCGGATGAATACGCCAAATCCCGCAGCCAACCTCATGGCAAGACCGAAGGAGAGGAGATTGAGCAGGCCATTGGCGAAAAGACCGGGCACCCGCTGGACAAGGCTCGTAAGCGTTTCGGCCAGTGGATTGGACTTGGAAAGGGTCGTGCTGAAGACCAAGAGGTCAAGGAGGCCAGAAAGACTGAAGAAAAGAAGAAGGCTGAAGAGGCATCGAAGAAGCCTGCCAAGGCCAAAGGTCGCTCCGCTCACGCCTACCAGTTCGGCAACACCATCATTGTTGAGGACGAAGACGGAGAAGTCATCAAGAAGTATTCCATTCCTTCTGGGGATAAGCCTGAGACGGATGCCCCTGTTCGTCGCGGACTGACAAGGATGGGTACGTGGTTCGGTATGGAAGAGGAAGGCGAAACATCGCAGGCCGCCCGCAAGGCTGCGCAAGACGACTGGCTGGCGGATGATGGTCTGCGTTTCACCCTGGCTGACGACAATGATGTTGGCAAGAGAGGCGTCGAGCACAAGGGTCGCCGCATGACCAAACATGAATTCGCTCAACAGATTCGTAACCTTGGTCCCAAAGCACGCCGTGATGTGGTCGAAGAGACCGATGCCCCCGAGCGGGTCAAGAAGGCGGCTCGCCAGGAGGCTCAGAAGGCTGAATCGCAAGAGCGCCGCCGTTCAGACCCTGGAGTGGCCTCTCGGCCTACCCCTGCCCCTGCCCCTGCCCCAGTCGCCGAAGATGACGAATCCGGCACCGGAAGCGAATTTACGGACGACGAATCGGACGTGGAAGTGCCCGGCGACATTGCCGCTTCGTTGGCACGGTTCACACGTGGCACAGCAGCCGAGGAGCGTCGCAGTTCCCACCTCAGTCCTACATCCACGTCTCCGAGATCGCGTCCCCGGTCACGACGGGATTCCGATGATGATGGCACGGAACGTATTCCGCCTGCTCAACTTCGCGAAGCGGCCGGACTTACTCGTCCTCCTCAGCAAGCGGATTTGGATGACACGGGTGAAACGCCAGCGGAACGCCGTCGTCGTCTGGCTGCGCTTGGTGAAATCAATGACTCGGAGGATTCCGACGATCCGGATGTTCTTCTAGAGGAAACGGACGATGAGGGCAACGATGCTGAGGCGAAGGTCTCCTTTGCCGACGGCACGAAGCCCCCAACTAGCAGACAACAGTCGGGCGAGAACTCCAGTGAGGGACAAGAAAATAGCTCCCCATACAACCGACACAGTCGCAGTCAAAGTCGACGGAGCATCTCCTGGGGCGGCGAGAAAGGCCGTGAAAATTGAGACAAACCCACAAAAAATGCAGCAAACATAGAGTGAAGGAAAAAGTGAACTTTGGGCAGTGAAGCTGAAAGGGGAATTCTCTTGAAGGGGGTAATATAAGAGCCCAAGGAGAGGGGGGGGGCAAAAGAAAAGGGGAGGGCGGTGAAACTAAAGCCACCTTGCGGTGTAGAAAGCTCTTCTTTTTCTACTGAGCCAAGAATCAGCAGGTCCTTCCTAGAGCTCGGTTATGGGTTTGCTTGTTCTTGAGCATCTGGTGTTCGTTTTGCATGCATGGCTGGATGCGATCATGTATAGAGCGCGCTTTCACTTTTTTTGTGTAACTACTTTACCCTTTTACTTGCATTTGTTTGTGACCCACCGCCTGCTGGTGCCCCGCGCTGTGCAACCCAGCCAGCTCAGCCCAGCTGCCTTTTTGCTGTGGTGTACTGTGGATCAGTACTATTGCTACTGTTATTGACTGATAGAATGATGGATGGGATGGACTTGCTGACCTGTGGTGCCTACGTTTAGCACCATGATCTTGTAATGGGTACGAGAAGTACATATATGACATAGTATAACTATTTCTTTCAGTGTCTTCATTTCTTCCTTCTTTTATCAACAAGTCAATCTAGTGCTCAGTAGTACATCAGTTCACCAGTGAGGGTAGTAGTACTACTAACTACCTAGATAGTACTGACCACTTAAAGCCAAACTTGGTACTATCAGATAAGTTTAGATTTCTGTAGTAACGCCACAGCAATAAAATATACTTTCTCCTGCCCCCCTATCATGAGTTACTATCAGTTGAATAGAGATAAACAGTCACCCCCGACTTTCAGACCCTGGCAGTTACTACCGGTAGTAGTAATTACTAAACTACTGATAAGCTAGCATGTGAAGCCCAACCAGGTAGTGAGTACAATTCATATAGCACATAAGTTATATCTATCTAGTACATTCAAGCCATGACTAAGGGATATACTTAACTATGTCCGGAGGATATGCCAGACTGGGTACTAAGTAACTACTAAGTACTAATAACAATTAGTATGTATTTCTCGAAGATAGATAAGTAATAGTGGATTCAGTTCAGGGAAACAACGTGTGCAGCTACTTACCATTACCGAGTAGTATTCTTTAATATAATTAACTACCCAGTGAGTAGTAATATATGTCATGTAACACTACTACTCATACAGTCAGTCGATAGTTGTGATATGATTAGTGGTATATTTCTGGAATGATTCTGATTAGATTGGCAAGTATGCTGGTGTGAATGTAAGCCATCTCTATCTATCTATGCCGAAATCTCTCAAATATGCGTGGAGAATATTGAAGTGGGCATCGATGAGTACAAATTCACGAAGAATGCTGCATAAATCCGGAAGTAGACATGATATATTTGAAATAAAGGTAGACAGAAGTTTATTCAGAGAAATTAAGATGGTAAATAGTATGTGTTGAACTCAGACATAAGGTAGCCAGTATGAACGAAGAGATAGTAGTGCAGAGAGAAACCCAACAAATGCCACGCTGATTTATGAGCTTTTCCTATTCCGGGATCCCCAACACCGTAACACCGCTGATATGATGATGATGATATGAATCGAGACAAGGACAGAAGCCCGCATAAACGGTTTAAGAGAAGATCGAGAAGAATGGGAGGAATGAAATGACCCCATGTCAGGGTCCGGGGGTATCTCAAGCGACAATTAAACGTGATGATGCTTCCATCGAGAATAATGCTGCGGTGCGCTGCTCACAGCACACCGCCGGGCAGATTGATCTGTGCCTGTCGTCCCCCTTCAAAGCCGGCACTATTCGGTGCAGACCCTCCCCCGGAATACATGCCGCTATCGATGGGATGGACCTGCTTTCGCAACATAAACATGGGCTTGCGTCCTTCCTTTTCGAGCTGTTTGAATAGAATGAGTGGTCGTTCCTCGAGCCCAAGACATCGTTCTTGATCACCGTATACAATGTATAGTGCATATTGTTTCCAATCCGCGTTGATGTTGTACTTTTTGAGTGCAGCCGGAAGGACCTTGTGGCATGGATCGTCCATCGACACGCGGAAAGACTTGAAGATTTCCACACTAGGTGGATCCTGAGTCGCCCTTGAGTCTGAACGAGTGGGGATGTCGGGGCGCGTAGATTGTGTTGGTGTGGGGTTTAGACGATCCGGCCGCAACTGTGACGCCGCGGTATCGTCGTGGTGGTTATGAGAAACATGGTTTATGCTGCTGGAACTCGGTTGTGTATATGCCCGGGAGGCTAGGGTCTGTGGAGCATATTGATTACCTGGCGAGGTCGGCGACGGAATGCCTGGAGATAATTGCGACTTGCCGTTCAGCATAGTCAAGTGGGAGGAATTCGCGGTGGACGGATCTAGCCCATCGCTGTACATGCGACCCTCGTGGATCGACGGAGGAATATGGGTAGGGGAGTTGGTTTTGGGTGTAGTGCCGCCAGTGTGGTTACGCTTGGAGAACGTCCGAGATAGGATACTCCCAGAACGATCCAACAGAGTGATTCCGGATGGCGATGTGAGCGTCGGCCCATCGTGGTATCCTTCTGACCCGGATCCTGGCACAGAAGAAGGCGGGGGCAACGGCTGCGACTTGTCTTTCGCCATCTTGAACACGGGCAGAAGCTCTTCGCGCAGTCGACGATATTCCTCTGCAATCCGTCGCATTTCTGACTCCATAGACATGATACGGTCATCTCGTACGCGGATGGACCGAATCAACCGGGAAATATCGTCCTGAGTGGCGGTTTCGTTCATACTTTGGTCCGCAGCTACCGAAGTAAACACATTAGCAAGACAGGTCACAGGCAGTATCTGCAAGCCAGGGAAGTCGTGAACATACAAAGCGGAATGTAGTGATCTGCATCAATCGGAATATCTTGCTTGACTTTCGTTTCGTACACGCTCTTCAGGATAGTCAATCGATGTCCCACACTCGCGATCCCCATCTCCTTGAGTTCATCATGCTTCAAAGCAATGAGCGCTTCGCCGACGATTTCATTTTCTATTGTAACACAAACACCACGCAGTCAGTGACCCGGAAGTCTTAGCGCCTTTGTTTTGATCCCTTGGACTCACCTAAAAACGCGGCGCAGTATTGACGGAGACCAAGGGCGGCCACAAAGTTGGCACATTCCTCAGCAGTCCATTCCGTGATGATTGTTCGGGGCGATCGGGGATTCTCGTCCACATTGGCTAAGGTCGTGGGAGTATGCTCTGCTGACGGGAATTCTGATTCGGAAGGGGAGGCCTCGGAGTCGGTGGCCAGATGGGGGGAGGTAATCACGCTGCGCTCGTACTCGTCGTCCGCATCCGAGTCGGCATGATAAGAGGTATGGAGAGACATGGCAAATGAATTCATTCAAGTAACGGTGACGACGCCCAGAGACACGTAGAGGAGGGGGCTGGGGAGGACGTCGGACCGGCTAGCAGACTCAGCGAAGCGCCAGCCTCTAGACCCGAGACAAGTCGCCAAAGATTGAGCACAAAGGACGGGTCCGGTTGCACAGAAGGCGTTTGAAGTTGTCAATCACGGACTAACGACCCGGATGAAGAGTGTTGGGAGCCAAACTTGGTCGAGCAGGCGTGCCACATGAACGGGAGGGACGGAAAGCGGGTGAGTTATGAGGACACCGACAGTGAAGATGGTCCGAAGGTGCGAAGCGCGGAGTTGATCAGGAGGAGAGTCGGGAGAACGGAGGTAATTATGAGAGAGAGGAGGTGAAAAGAGCTAGTGGAGAGGAAGAAGGCGTAAAGACGAGGTGGTAGAAGGTACGAGGAAGCATGGAAAGCAGCCGTGATGGAAGAGGAGCGGAGGGGGGGGGGATCCTGAGGCCAACAAGGCATGCAGCGACAGCGAGAGCGGGGAAGCTCGGCCAAAGTTCTGGGGGTCCAACCGGATGATGAGATGGGCCAAAAGGGAGAAGATGATGATGATGATGAACACCCTTGTTGTTAATAACTGGTTGGGCGATAATAATGTGAGATCAAAGACCACGAGGCAGAGCGAGCGATGAACTGGGGTGATCAAAAGAAGAAAGGGTGGACATCCACAGGCAGATGAGAGGCAGCCGATGGACGAGAGCAACAGAACAAGAAGCTGGTTGGGCGCGGAGTCCAACGAACCGCCGAACGGGAAAACCAAGAGGCGCTTCTAAAGTTGGATCGCCACACGTGATGCCGGTCTGGACTCTCCGCTGCTCACTTTCCTTGTACATCCATTCTCATTCTACACAGACAGCTCAGGCATCTCCATTTTATCATCATCATCCCAGTGGGTTAAGTCAATATCCTTGGTCTTGCCATATGATGGGGATCCATGGCATCTACGGAATCTACTGTCAGCCGTTTATCGGCTTAGTCCGACCCCCTCTCCAGTAACTGGCTCCGTTAATGGATCCCTCATCCTTGCTTCGTTCCCAGCCCAGATGCTGGGCAAAAATCACTTGGTGACGCATCTCGCAGACAACGGGCGGATACTCCAACCAGAAAAAAAAAATCAGGGTTGAAGAAAATTAATTAAAAAAGGAGAGCCATCGCCGGATCCAAGCGCCAAACAATTGCTCCAAGCAGAAAACTGAAAACTGAGAAGAACAAATGGTGGAAACGGGGCCCCATCCCCTGGCTGAAGTTCCGTGCGATTTAATGAGGACACTAACGAAGCGCCCATCCTAGTGACCAGCACTATTATCACACAAATGCTACTAGTGTCGATGACTCGATGGGGGTTCATGCAAACCAGAAGCATCGCCCGGCAGGCTTAACGGCCAGTGGACAGAGGGGGGTTGGTTATGCCCACTATTATTCAAGCCAGGCGCTGTCAAAATTCAATAGTGCCGGAGCCTCGACGTTTTCGGATGCTATCTGGGTCCGAATCCTCCGCTGTCATCGTGCCATTCGTTCCCCATCTCGACGCTGAATTGTCGATGAATGTCCATGCAAGGACATCCATGGCTCCATCAGAAAAAAACTCTTTTCCACTCGTCTCCATCATCTTCCTCCCCTTGCCCCTTTTTTTTTTCCTAGCAATATTTACCTCCAATCCACTTGAGCTTGGATGGCCGGTGCTATATTTAACTTTCCTCGGATACTATCGCCGAAGGGCTTTGTCTCCGTGTACCTGACTCTCCGGAGAAGTCTATTTGCACCATCGATATCCCCACCTCAGCTAGTAGATACTAGATAGAGCTTACGTATAGTCGACGAGGGTCCTATGTGTAGGAGTCAATAACGATATTTCTACAGCAGATTGTAGACAACGGCCGAGTCTAAAGTCTTGACCACCGAAATTCATCCGTTGCAGCTGAGAACAATCCATCCGAACGGGTTCAATGACTGTGGAGCAGCCGGAGCAACACAGCACGCTTGTGTTCTACTATTGAGCCGCCGCTATTGAGGCGGCAGTATAACACAAACAATCTATAACTTGAATAGTATTTACTCACCATCTCAGGAGATTTTCCATCGGCCACGCCGATCCCATCATCAGACGGGGACAAAATATCCGATCCATAGTAAGTAACAGCATAATTTCGCACGCACGAGCAAAAAAACCAGCACCCTACTACTATATTCCTCGCCCCCTCACCGTGCGCTGTCCACCTGAATCAAGGAGCAACTACTAGTAAGCGCCCGAATCTGGTCCATCCTGCAATGCATGGGGACGACGGAACAACGGAACGATACCTGCCTTACCTCGTACATCTTATCAACATCCCTCCCTCGCTGGCGAAGCTAGTACTAAGAACCAGCCATCCCGCAATCATGTGTCTTTTTTTAATGCGGTTGTGACACCTCAATCCCTGGCATCTCGCAGCAAAAAAACCTTACACGAACATGTGGGTGTGTGAGCCAGCCAGCCATCGTTCATGCCTGCCTCCTTGTTGCTTACATGCAGCAACTTAACTAATGGGAGGGAAATTATTTGTGCCTCGAGGGTAGTGGAGCCCCATGTATGTCTACGTAAGTTTCGTATAATATGTAGTAGTATATGTATACCCATACCCACCTCGGCGCAATGATTGCATTTTGGTCAAAGTCCATTCGATACGCCAACCGCCGTTGGATGCTATTTATATCGGATCATGTACCCTGAATAGCCATGTTCAGGATACGCCCCCGCGTTCTCTGTCGCGCGCGCCTATTCACGCCTATAGTAGATGCAGTGCGGTGTGATGCGCTGCGATGCGATGCCAGGCGGCTAACCTTCCGTAAGAATATCCGTTGGCTTTTTGTGACCGGAAATTTCTAGGGCGTGGCAAACTTCCCGCATTGTGAGGAATTCTTTCCGGGACCAGCATCGCTTGATGATATCCCCAAGGAATGAATAAAGGGTTCGTATTTGGGAGTATGTCATCGGTCGGCCAGGTTTTATATGTCTTGGACACTGGATCATCGTCTAGGTCGGTCTCGATGTCGGGTATAACATAGAATTCAAATTGCTTTCCAGAGATAACTTCGTACATCATCGAGCCAAAGCGCGCAATGTCGGACTTGACTGATGCGAAGTCTTCAGACACAAAGATTGCCATGTCCTCATTGTCCGCGACAATAGTAGATTCGGTAAAATCGCACATCTGGAGAGAAAGATCCTCATCAAGCAGGAAATTGCGTGTCGCAATATCGACTACCAATACTCGCCGCTCGTGGACTTGATGGATGATATGTGCAGCTTCTTGGAGCCATTGTAGGCGTCGACTGTTGTCCACGCTAGCATGGTGAGTACGTAGATAGCGGCTCAGTGAACCCTGGCGTAGGTACGGCATTCGTATCTCGGTGTCGGAGATGTGGTAGGGCTTTATTACTCCTGGGACATGCCCAAGATGGCTGTACACATGCCCTTCATGTTTTAGAGATTGCTTGTTTAGCTCAGTCGTCTGCTCGTAGCTGATAATCGTCGTCTCGGATGCACCCTTAGGGACAGTCCAAACATTGGCCGTTTTGACTGCAATGTCTCCGAAGCGCATCACGCGTCCAACTCGACCAAGTCCGATTAGCTCGGAATCATCGTTATAGCTCATTATAGATGAGCTCAACGAAGATAGTAGCTCTGTGGGTGGTGTCTAGTCTGTTGGCTGCAGGAGTTGTGCGCATATGATAGAACTCCAGCGGTCATGTGCAGCAGCAGCAGCAGCAGCAGCAGCGAAACAGCTTCGCCGTGAGAGATACCCTACCATTTGCACTTCACGTAATTCACCCCATTATAATATACATTCTTAGAGCACTCCAGAAATTAACGACAAGCCTGACCACATTCATGCCATGACCTCTCAACATGGTCATTACTATATAGATTCATTCCCGCTAATCAAAAGCGGCAACCCATCTTATCGGCGGTTCCTGCGCTGACCTCCGACGACCGCAAGGCTCGCCTTTCCCCGGACTAGGATTATTCTTCGCCCCCAAGTTTCTCCTCAACTCCTTCCCTTCTTTCTCTGCCTTTACACCTCCTGCTCCGACGCTCCCTATCACATCGCGAACCAAACAGGTAAGACACACAGAAAGATAAATCCCTCCCGCCCCCATGGATACCGCGAAAGCTACCCCAACCCGCGCAATCTTTTCCAGAACCGTAGTACGTACCCGCTAACCGATCGCGATCGCAGACATTGTACCCACGAGCAAGAGTCGCACGCTACTATCGACTTGGGGCTTATATATACATATATACTTTGATACCTGTTGCGCTAGCTCGAACGGACTATTCTATCTCCCTTGTCTGGGTGACCACCGTCTATACGAAACGCAAGCGCTACACCTCCATCGAGTTCATCCCGCTTCGCGCCGCGCCCACCCTACCTACCTACCCATCGTCACATCGCTTCAACCACCACTACACTACACTACACCAACCCCAACTCTCCAATCTCCAAAACCAACAATGCCCTCCTCCTCCTCCCCCAACCAACCCACCACAACCACATCCTCCACCACCACCACCGACCTCGAATCCGACCTCCTCCAGCACCTAACCAGCACACCCGCACTCGAAGACCTGCACGCCACACTCCTCAGCTCACTCCAACGTCTCGGCTGGACAGAACGGATCCGAAAACTCGCGCAGGAACTCCTTCGCGGCGGACGATGCGAGCGATTCGACGAGGTATTCGAAGCGGTAGTAGCGTCCGCGGAGGGGCGGAAACATCCTGTCCTAGCGGAGGCGAATAAAGCGAAACAACAAAGCAATGGGAATAATAATAATAATAATAATAGTGGTGGGGACGAGGACGGGAGTGGTGGCATTGGGGATCTGGAGGCGTTTGATGTGAGGATTCCGTCGGCGGTGGTGGAGCAGGGGGTTAGGGCGTTAAAGGAGATGTTGAGGGAGGTGGTGGTTGCGGAGGATGGGGGGGATATTTTGGGGGAGGTTGAGAATGGGCATAAGGAGGAGGGTGGTGGTGGGAGTGGAGGGGGTAAGGGGTCGAAGAATAGTAAGGATGGTGGGGGGGATACGGCGAGTCCGGTGAAGAAGGTGAAGAAGGAGTCGAAGTCGGGGAGTAAGGTTAAATGATATGTGGATGGCTTGTCTGTGTGATGTGGTGCGTTTGTTTTGTGGCTGGCGTGTTGGAATGGTGTTTTGGGTTTGGTTTATCTGGATACTTCTTGTCAGGCTATTGCTTAAGGCGTTGCTTTGGTGGTTTACTACGGACGGCGTTGCATTATCCTGATACCAGCATGGGCATGTATGCATGCCTCATTCCTTTGTACAACAGTGGGGGTTTGTCTAACAAGACGTGCAATTCATTTACTCTTTAAGCTTAATATTATGGCACTCAGTATGCGAGACAGATCTTCGCAATCTCAGAACTTGAAAGGAAAAGATAAGGAAACTGTAACCCAATACGAATTTCGACCGGGGCTATATCCCGGCCTCAAAACCCGCTGTTTCTAAGTAGTAGTAGTGCAGATGGATAACTAACTTGGAAACATGCAACCAATCTAGTCATAGAGGCTGTCGTCATTGCCGGCTTCACCAAACGTGTTGTTGTCCGTCACCTCACCCGCCGACGGGAAGCGGAAGAAGCTGCTGCCACCCGAGTTCTTCAGGCTCTGGGCAAATGCCTCGTAGCGACGGATCTCCACGTCGCTGACGGAGCGTCTGGCCGACTTCATCGCCTCCTCGAAGTGCGCCCGGGTAAGCTCCGGCACCGGGTCCTCCTCCTCGACCTCCTCGTCCTCCATCTTGATATCCTCACCCTGAGCCTCACGCTGCTTCTGGCGCTCGATGTCAGCGCCGATGGACTGCTTGATGGCGAGCTTGACAGCACGCTGGGTCACGAAGCCAAGATCAGCACCGGAGAATCCGTGGGTCTTGCTGGCAATGAAGGAAAGGTCGATATCGCCAGCGATAGGGGTCTTGCGGAGCTGGGCCTTGAGGATGCTCTCACGAGAGGCCTGGTCGGGCAGAGGAACGTAGACCAGGGTGTCAAGACGACCAGGACGGACCAGGGCGGCATCGAGCTGCTCGGGTCTGTTCGTGGCACCAATGACGAACACGTTCTTCTTGGAGGTCATACCGTCCATCTCTGTTTGGAAGTTAGCAACTACTCAGGTACAATCGAGACAATTAACTTACCAGTCAGGAGCTGGTTGACAACACGGTCAGAGGCACCGCCGGCATCACCGACAGAGCCACCACGAGACTTGGCGATGGAATCCAACTCATCCAGGAAGACAACGCAAGGAGCAGCGGCGCGGGCCTTGTCGAAGATATCACGGATGTTGCTCTCGGACTCACCGAACCACATACTCAGCAGCTCAGGACCCTTGACCGAGATGAAATTGGCAGCACACTCGTTGGCCACGGCCTTGGCAAGCATGGTCTTACCAGTACCGGGAGGACCATAGAACAAAACACCGCGGGAAGGAGAAAGACCAAACTTCTGGAACTTCTCGGGGTGGTCGACAGGGTACTGCACGCTCTCGATGAGCTCGCGCTTGACCTCCTCCAGACCACCAATGTCCTCCCAACGGACGTTGGGCACCTCGACAACGGCAACCTCGCGGAGAGCGGAGGGGTTGGAGACACCGAGGGCGTAACGGAAGTTCTCCATGGTAACACCCAGAGAGTCCAGGACCTCCGCGTCAATGGTGTCCTCGTCGAGGTCAATCAGATCCATCTTCTCACGGATCTGCTGCATGGCGGCCTCAGAGCACAGAGAGGCAAGATCGGAACCGACGTAACCGTGGGTCTCGGCGGCAATGGTCTCCAAGTCGACATCATCACCCAGCTTCATGTTCTTGGTGTGGATCGAGAGGATCTCCAGACGGCCAGTGGGGTCGGGGATACCGATGTCGACCTCACGATCAAAACGACCGAAACGGCGGAGGGCGGGGTCGATGGAGTTGGGGCGGTTGGTGGCGGCCATGACAACCACGTTGGAGCGGGCCTTCATACCGTCCATCAGGGTCAGAAGCTGAGAGACGACACGACGCTCGACTTCACCGTTGGTCTTCTCACGCTTAGGGGCGATGGAATCGATTTCATCAATGAAGATGATGGCAGGGGAGTTCTTCTCGGCTTCCTCGAAGGCCTTGCGCAGGTTGGACTCGGATTCACCGGCCATCTTGGACATGATCTCGGGACCGTTGATCAGGAAGAAGAAAGCGCCGGTCTCGTTGGCCACAGCACGAGCCATCAGAGTCTTACCGGTACCCGGAGGACCGTACATGAGGATACCACGGGGAGGCTTGATACCGATGGACTTGAAGAGCTGGGGGTGGCGAAGGGGCAGCTCGACCAGTTCACGGATCTGAGCCATCTGCTTCCTGCAGCCACCGATGTCGTCGTAACCGACCTCGTTGAGGTTGCCCTCCTCATCCTCGCGCTGGATCGGCTCACCCTCGCAGTGGATGATGGTATCTTGGGCGACGATGCCATACTCTGGGGGATCCACCTCAACAACCTTGAATTCCACTTGTCTCATACCACCTCTTACTGTGAACAGGTCTCCCTGTCTCACGGGTCTGTAGGCTTCGCGGAAGTAGGGGGCGAGGTAGACATCGAAAAGGGAGCCAGTGAGGCCCTCAACGGTGTCGGCGATGGGGAGAACGGCAATACGCTTGGCCTGTAGATGAGAACAAGCGAGGTCAGTAAGAAGTCGCTTGGATAACGCCGAGAGCAGTAGAACTCACGTATTTGATGTCGGGGCAGGGGTGGACGGTGATGATATCGCCGTGCTTGACACGCAGGTTGTGTCTCACAACACGGTTGATGCGAGCGCTTCCATCATCAAGATCATCATCGGCCAAAACAATCAGAACGGTGTCCTTGCGCTTCTTGCCCTTGACGAGGACGGTGTCACCCCGGAACAGCTGGAGGGTGTCCATTGTGTTGTTGGAGAGAGCAATAACGGAGTTGTCATCGTTGACGGCATCGGTGACACTAGCACCCAGACAGTCAGTACCCAACCAGTATCCCCGCACCAAGGCCAGAGCTAGCTTACATGAGGGAGTTGGGCTTCTTCTTCTTCTTCAAGATAGCCGTCGAGGTGTCGAGTTCCTATTTCGCGGTGGTTGTTAGTATTCGCCATCAAGGTCCCTTCCCGTTCTGCAGACAAAAGTCTTTACCTCTTTCTTGTCGGCGCCGGAGGCGTCACTGTGCGATGAGGTTAGCTTCTTGGAACGATGGAGAAGTTGATGCCAGAGGTTCCATCACGTACTGGAGGTTCACCCTCTTCTTGTCGTGGGTGTGATCGGGTTCTGCGCTCATCTTGAGGGGAAGCTGGATAAGGCGCGTAAAGCAACGTAGACACTTGGGTACGTATCAAGGACTGTCGCTGTACCGGATTTGGTGAAGCTCGGCAACAGGGACAAAGAGGAAAATGAAGGGGAATGAGAAAACGAAACAGAGATACAAAACCCACCAGACCGAAAGAGATGGCGGAGGGAGGGAAGTAAATTGACAGGATGAGATGGGATGGCAGAGGGGGAGGGAGTTGGAAGTGAGATCGGAGGATGGCAGAGAGAGAGCTCCAGTTAAGAGGTGACGATAGTGCCAGGCCCTACCGGGGCTTGATGACTTAAGCTGTTGCAGATTCACGAGCCACCAAACCCGGTTGCCGCCACCGCCTGGGGAGGAGAGAGAAGCGTATGGAAGCCGGTCGTATCCACTCTTGATCGTCCCCCAACTAACCACTACTACGATTAACTAGTATTTATCTGGGGTTAACTAATATTCAGGTGTTTCTACTCCATCGTTGCTTTATAAGCCATGATACTCTGCACAAAATGAGTCACTGTGGCTATTCCCCCCTCACTCTGCTGTGACTGTCGGGGATATGCGTGTGCATTGCACCGCCCGGTAACACTGTGTCTGTGTCTGTCTGTGTCTGTGTCTGTACCTCTGCCTGAGGCAGCTATCCTCCCTGCATGCATGCACGGAGTGCTTCTATGACAGCCGGGGCATGGCATCAGTCAGCCTGGACCAGCCCAGGCTGTCTCTGGCTCTGCATCACCATGCCCAAGGCACTGTCAGGACAATAGCCTTGTCGTGGGCGGCGACTGCCTTGCCGGCAACTTGCTGCCTATGAACGGGACTTCCCTATTCGGCAGACAAGGGTATACATGTACCATCGAACTGACCAGAGCCGTGTGAACCCGTCTTTCCCCCAGTTGGCGAGTTCATCAGAATACTGCTCCCCTATATAGTGCTATGTGCACACAGGGCTATGTTTGCACGCCGGGGCAACAGCTCGACCAGTCCTGGTGACTCGAGCAAATGAGTATTCACAGCAACAGCCTGTCCAACATGGCCATGGATATATAATTTTGTGTTAACGGCCTTGTATAGCTATATTCTCATCACCTATCCGTTACCATCTTTTTAAACCAACCCCCTTTATGAGTGAATGTTAATCACACTGAGACATTTTCCGGAACACGAGACTCTCCATCAGGGGACCACTGATACTACTACTGATAGATCGTTTGCTTGCCTCATCTGATTAACCTGGCCCACCCTTATAGCTCCAAGCCATGGACGATAAGGCTGATTACCCCTCGGACTTCCTGCAAGCGCGAAACAACACCTTGACAGACGATGAGGTAAACCATCTGCTCGAGAAGCCGGGCTGCGCAGCTCGCTTCGTCTACGGAGTCCTCATGCTCCCCACGGCACTAAAATACTTCCTCGACATGCCGCAGACCACGGACATCGCCAAATGCATGATGCACGCAACTGTGTACGGGTTCAAGCTCTACCACTTCAGCCCGGACAGCACACCCGTCATGCTGCCCTCAGAGGACCCACAGCACCGAGTCGAAGGGATGCTCATCCTCGGATTGAATGAAGAACATCGCAACAGGATCTACGAATATGAGAGCGGGCTCATGAGGCTTGTCGATGTGCGGGCACATGTCACTCAGCTGGACTCGTTCAAGGGCTACGATATTAGCAGTGTGCGGATTGTCGATGCGGGGGCGTTCGTCTGGAACCAAGAAAAGGTGGACGAGGCGATGAATGAGCTTCCGTCGACAGAACAAGGTCTGTATACCTGGCCTATGGATGGACTTTTGTGTAGCCAGATATATCGGAATATGCTTGCGGCTCAGCGCGCGTCGACGATCGATTTGGCGAGAACGTCGGCACCGAATGCTTAGGGGGTGGTCCAGCTTGCTGGGAACATGGATCCAATGAGTAGACGTTCTGGCTTGGTTACTTGGCGTTTGGTCGGTTGAAGGATCTAGACTGTCTATTTGTACGACGACTATGACTTGCTCGGGTGTCAGGTGTTGGCTTGGTAAATAATTGGATGTGTTACATGGATAGATGAGACCTTTCCTAGCATAATAAGCTAGTAAAACTATCCGTCTTCTCCATCCCGATCTAATCTATAGTATACCACCCTGCCAAGAACAACTAGAAGAAAAAGAATCATATGCAATAATCGCTCAATACAACATGAAACCCACCCCAATCCCATCCCCTACTACAACCCCGTAGCCACCCAAGAATCCCAAACCTCCCAAGCCCCCGCCATAAAACTAACCAACCCGGTCAAATGCTCGGGGAACCCAATGCCCTTCTCAAAGCACCAATGAAGACACAACGGCGCCCAACAAACATTATTAACGAGACTCTTCCTCCACGCCCGAATCTCCTTCCTCAGCGCCTTCCTCTTCTCCTCCTTCCCCTTAACACCCTCAACCCCAACCTCCCCCTCCTCCTCCATCTGTTTCCTCCTCCTCAACACAGTCCCCCTCCAAAGCACAAAAAACTGAAAGAAAATATGTCCAAACCACGCCCTCGTACTCCAAATATACCACTTATCAATCCCACCCCACCGATCCACAAACCGCTTCGACACGATCCCCTTCTGCGCAAGATATCCCACGTTCTCGAGCGCCTGGTAGATGACGTTGACGAACACCTGCAGCAACGTCAGGATGTAGAGGGGTTTATCTGCCGGTGGGTGTTTCAGGGTGTGAGAGCCCCATGTCCAGAGGGGGAAGAGGCCGAGGAGGCGGAGGGTGAAGCGGGTTTCGGACATGAGGGAGGAGAGAGCGAGGAGGGGTGGTTTGGAGGAGGATGTGGTAGTGGTATTTGCGGGAGGTTTAGGGTTGTTTCGTAGACGAGCGAGCAGGCTGAGACGCGCTTGGAATGCGATCCATGGCGCCGATGTGAGAATGTGATGTAGTGTGTGTGCGAGATAGCCTGTTACTGCGAGGACTCGTTCCTGGCCCGCGGCGGTGGATATGAGTCTGTTGTGTGTGGGGGGTGTCGGAGTTAGTGGGATTGAAGCTCGGAGGTGCTTGGTTTGGGGGATAGGAGAGGAGCAGTAGCTCACCTATCGAACCGGTCGACTGTCCGGTCTGTCGCCTTGAGAGCTGCCAGCAGCTGGTGACATCGAGCGCCGGTTATTGACGATACCGGCGGTGGTGGTGGTGATGGTGAGCAGTCGTCCTGCGGGGGACTGCTCACCGTGTTCCCCTCATTGTGTTTTTCGTGGTCCGCGACAGCAGCGGGTGGAGAAGAGGGTTCGGGTTCGTGTTCGGCCATGGTGGTTATTCTCGCGGTGGTAATTATGTCGACATTGCTGAGGTCTGCGGACACTGGGGAGTTCGGGGACTTTATTGTCATGGGGGGAAATAGAGCGAGCGTGATCGTCAATCCAAGCATCTGACCAGCAGCTGCGCTTGGCGCGGTGCCGAGGTTCGGAATTGGCTCGGAATGATGGGTCCTGGTGGGTGGATGGATGGACCTGCCGCGGTTGGGGGGATGCCGACGGTGTGGGTTTTTACAGATTAGATGTGGTGATTAGATATTGAAGTAAGTATCCCCCAATTATCAACACTTAGATAATGACAAACTGGAGATTCCATTTCATTATTTTGATGATTAATTAGTTACTGAGAGAAGTGTTTTGCTGATTTATTGATTGACCTGTCGGCATATTCTGCTCAGGCATATGAGAAATTACATGAAAAGGAAATTTTCGTACCCCCACATTAGTTACTTAAGGAAAAGTAGTTTTCACGCAGGAACTAAGATTCCGTGCTCATCCCGCGAAGTGCGGATCATCGTAATAGTAGTAGCAACTTGATTGCCGTCACCACTGGCTGAATATCTTTCTGGCTGTATGCCAATAATATTTGTTGCTTTGTGGGCGCTCGTATCTTTGTCGATCATTACTTCAGGAACGGTGTTCTCTGTCCTCCTCTGCACGAGAAGCGAGATCAAGGAGACAGCCACCCGACTCGTCATCTTCATCGTCCTCGTTGTAGTCTTCATCAGCATCGTCTTCTTCATCTTCATGACCTCTTCCGGACCAATGATCTTCTTCGTGTTCCTCATTCACGGTTGCCGGGACTCTAATGATGGTACGCGGGGTGCGGAAACTGACATTCGGGCGGCGAGGATGCTTGTTTATACTGTTCCATGCGCCTTGGGCCGTCGCTGGCTGTCGTGAGAAAGTAGGGGTCCGTCGAGACGTTCCAGATGGTCCTGCTTGCGACGACCCTGCTTGCGAGTTCCTAGCGCCTGAGCTGGTGGAAAGTGAGCCAGAAGAACTGCCACTTGCCATGAGCCACTCGGGAATTTCAAGATGCGGAGGCGGAGGGGGCGCGGTGAGTGGTGCAGCAGACGGCTGAGTAGATAGCTGAGCAGATGGAGTAGCGAGTGGTTCTGTAGATCGAGCAACAACTGATGCGGTAGGAGGGGCGTTGGTAAAACAACCAGCAACGGACCCAGCAACTTGGGCAGTTAGGACCGGAAGAACGGTGGTAGTCGGTTTGGCATTTTTAGAGGAACCGGAACTCTTGGTTGCCTTATCCACAAGCTTCTTCAACAGGGCCGATGGTGATTTACTGTCCTCAGCGAGCGATGTGCTTGATTCAGCTCTAGAACGTGATGGTGAGAAACGTTGGAGTCCCAAGTTCCTGACAATGTTTGCATCCGATATGCTGCGGTCACGCAGGTCCCACTGACTGGGAGCCCTAACTGTCGTGTCTCTGCACACCTCATTAATGCTGCCCCATGCTCGTTCTTGAAGATGAGGTGCACAGTTGTAGCAGGCGCGATGGCTGCAAGGAGGGTAGACTGACGATTGTAGCAAGGGGCGGTCTTCGGCAAACTGGTCTGGATCGGTATTTGAGACGTCTTCGACAAAATCGACATGGGGATTCTCGTCGTCATCGTCATCGCCTATGCCATAGATGACTTCTGTCACAGGGAAAGCAACAAGATGTTCGGAGTGTTCTGCGGCAACTGTCTGCAGGACCCTAAGTTTCTGCCACATCAATATTCTCTCCTGTATTTCCGTGTAGTGACCAGCCTTGATGGCGTCGGATATCCAAGGACTGAGGACGGGGGCCTGGCCAGGATCCATGCGGTGGGAGAAGCCGGTGATATCTACACCACAACGATAGAACCAACCGAGCGCCGGGACAAGGCCGCAGGACTCGCATGTCTCGTGCTTGTCAAGTGCATGCTCATGAACGACGACATCGTGTTTGCAAAAGGGGTCACCGCAAGCTCTAGATTCGTCCTCATTCCACCCCGAGAACGGAGGGAAGAGACAGGGTCTGCCATCATCTCGACGAGCCACAAGGTTGAAAAACGGATCAACCACCGGTTCGAAAGTAGCATTCAGATCCCATCTCACAGACGAAGGCTCGCTATCGGGGGGTGGGAGGAAGACTAGCTGAGAGGGTGGTGAGTCTGACCTTTCCGAAGGGCTCTCCTGACGTTCCTCCTCGTCCACAGATAACCTAGAAGACATGATTCTTCAGGTAGTTGAGATGACCTGGTATGACACAACGATGAAAACGATGATTCAAAGGATGGCTTCTGATGATGAAGACTTCCTGTGAGGAAAGGAAACACGTCTGAGTGTTCGTTGAGACATCGTGTGAGATGTGGACGTGTTAGGCCTCTTCACCACAGACCGGGTCCAAAGGGCTCGGCACTCAAACGCTTCAAACGAGCATTCGCAATGAGATGCTTGCCAGCACGGTAGCAGACGCATTGTGAACGCTAGGTTAACATGCACATGGCCTACAGATTGGGAGTGCCATAAAGGCAAGGCCTAGGGCTGTGATGAAGCATTCATCTCTATATAAGCAGCATTATATGAGCTACATTTTCTACCTGTGCAGTTGTTAGTGGATAGGAACTGTGCAGAGCAGACATAAAATCAGAAGAATACCCAAAGATGAGTGATATATTGAAAATAAGCTGAATTATTTTCTGTTCCTGGCTGCACTCGGCGTGCACCTTTTGGGCCAGTGCCTTTCCTCTTAGGGTATAGACCATCAGGAAATACCGGATTTTCGAGATAAGCCTGAAAAGCGCTCATAATGAGACCAATACTATATATATATATATATTCCAGATTCAGATAATGCCTGGAAATTGCAGAGAATATTAGCAAATATAGCGAGGCATCGGAAAGGTGGACATGGGAACCCTTAAGATAGATGGTTGCCCGCATGTCGGAGCTGACCGAAAGGCGGGCAGCCCGAGGTCCGGGTATTAAAGCGGCGACATTCGCCATTTGCCGATGAAGTGACCGACAGTGAAATTATTATTATTGTCTTTAATTATTGACTGCTTTCCTCCTCCACATTCCCAACAGCAACAATACTTTAATCACTGCTATCTACTAACTATCTACTCACTCACTAGTCGAATTGACTTGACTAGCTGTGTTTGGTGAAGTTGGAACTAGATTCCTGTCTCCTGTCAGCTTAGGGCAGGTGTTGGTCCCTCCATTGAATTGATCCGTGGATTAACTATTATTATTGACTGGGTCTCTCTCACTGCTCTTATCCGCGTTGACCTTCCCCATATTATTGTCTGTGTTTGCTGCATCTCATTTCCAACTCGCTCAGGAACTCTTCCGACCTCGGTAAGTAAGCTTTGGCTCATCTTCCCGAACAAACCAAACCAGCCTCCTTCCTTTTCCCTTGACTCGTTCCCGTTCGTTCCTTAGCCTCGTTAAGTTACTAGTTGTTTTGGCTGGCGGATGCTGTTGCTGCCCATCAACAAATCATCCATCAGCCAACAATCTCATCTCCCTCTTCCCCCCCCTGCTCCTCCTTTTCCCTGCCGTTCTATGCGGGACAGCGCATCTTCCGTCGCCAACCCCATGTTTTCCACCTAATCTCAAATCTCACCTCACCTCTGTCTGTCTGTCTGTCTGTCTGTCTGTCCTACCTTCTTTCCCCAACCCAAAACCCACTTCAATCCTCTTCCTCTTGTTATCCATCTCCACCAAATCTCCATTGTGGTTCCCACCCCACTCCCTTGTCTGGCTTGGCTGACCGTGTCCCGTAATTTCCGTAGCTGCCGTCTTCGTGACTTTATCGTCTTCTGGCTCCCGTCCTTCTTAATTGACCATATCGCGCGCGCTTAATCTTCTTCTCTTTCCTCACCTTCAGCCTCACCCACACCCTCAACCACACCCTCAACCACTCCCACCAGATCAGCAAAAATGTCTGCCAAGTTCCAGGACGAGGCCGTCACCTCGATACGGGAGGATACAAAGGAATTGGTCCACAAGGTTGGAAACCGGTTGACTGGCGATGGCTATCTCGCTGTATGTTTTGCGCCTGTGTAATCGCACCACCGATGCGTGTTTACAGCCCACTGATTGAGACAATGCGCGTTCATTATAGCTATACCTTCGCCAACTGCAGTCGAACCCCCTGCGCACCAAGATGTTGACCTCCGGTGTCCTGTCCAGTTTGCAAGAAATCCTGGCCTCGTGGATCGCCCATGATGTCAGCAAGCACGGTCACTACTTCAGCGCCCGCGTCCCCAAGATGGCCCTCTACGGAATGTTCATCAGCGCCCCGCTGGGCCACTTCCTCATTGGAATTCTGCAGCGGGTCTTCGCTGGCCGGACTAGCATCAAGGCCAAGATCCTGCAGATCCTCGCCAGCAACTTGTTGGTATGTCCGATCTGAAACTCCATTTTGACGTGCGCTTGGAATGCTGACGCGACGCAGGTCTCCCCCATCCAAAATGCCGTGTACCTGTGCTGCATGGCAGTTATCGCGGGCGCGCGCACCTTCCACCAGGTCCGCGCTACCGTGCGGGCCGGTTTCATGCCCGTCATGAAGGTCAGCTGGGTCACCTCGCCCATCGCGCTGGCCTTTGCCCAGAAGTTCCTCCCCGAGCACACCTGGGTGCCTTTCTTCAACATTGTCGGGTTCGTCATTGGAACCTACGTCAACACGCACACCAAGAAGAAGCGTCTTGAGGCTCTCCGCAAGGTAAACCAACTACGTGACGATCCCGACGCGACCAGTCGCTAACCTTAGCACGACAGCGCTACGACCAACGCCGTGGACCCGGTAGCGAGTACGACAAGGGCGACTACCGGTAAACGATGTAAATATACTGTATCTAGCTTATGACTACCGACAGGGCAGTGTGGACTTTCCAATAATGGTCAGTTAGAGCAGTCCGTTCACTCGGGTACGTCTCCCGAACCCGAGAGACTGCCGGAATGAGCGGCTGCCTCAGCCCAGCCACCTTATCGGAAAGTCCACCCTTTCCCTGTCATACATTTTATTACCCCCATGACATCCTAATCTGACCCGGATATACCTCTGATGATGGAGCTCTGGCGTCGAGATGAAGATATGTTTGCCCTGCCCCTGTTATGATGAATATGTTTTATCGGTTTTCTATTCTCTTCTTCCTTGGCGACACCACCATGCTGCATACCTCCTCTGTCTATCACTGTCGCCATAGTTTCATACCTATAACAAAATACCAAGATATAAAGATTCCCTACACCATCCCTCCACCTGTAATAGTAATAATAATTATAAACCCATCCCATTTATCTACCTAACCGTCGTCGTAGACTACTAGTCAAATACCACATCAAGAATGATAGAATTCAAGAGACCTACTCAACCTCCATATCCTCCCCCCTCTTCTTCTGCACCCACTCCACAAAATCATCCAACGCCCCCGGCCACGCCCCATCCGCACTCCACCACCCAAAGCTCTCATCCTCCATCGTCTTCCGCATAAACACCTCCACCTGCTCCCACAGATCCTTATTCACAGGCCTCCCCCCCCTCTCCTGCAGGAACTCAATCCACCAATCCAACCACGGAGTCGACTCCGTGTTCCACTGCACCCCGCCATTCTGCGGCGTGAAGAACAGCCGCCATTGCTCTGCCGCGATCTCGAACTGCAGGTTCCGCTGGCCTTGCATGCGACAGAGTGGGAAGGTGAAGCGGTACACCCGCCGGAAGAGGTCCGGTTGGATGGGAATGCGCGCGCGGATGTCTGCGGCGTGGGCGATCATTTTGTCGAGGGTGTCGGATCTATATTTTTTCCACGTATATTAGTTTGTGTTTGGAGATGTGTGTGGGTGTGGGGTATCTACCCAGTTATTCTCCAGCCGTTGATGAAGCCTTCGCGGGTGAATTCGCCCATTGAGGGGGATTTGAGCAGTTCGGCGATTCCTAGACATGTTACTTCGTCGAGGCCAACTTTGATGTCGCCGAGGTATTTCATCGCTCCTTCGATGCCGATCCCGTCTGGGTTGTCTTCTGGGGCATCTGGGGGATGTTAGTTTTGGATTTTCTATAAGGAAGGTGGTGGGATTGGACGAACCTCGATAACTGTCGAAGATCTTGCTCAGTGAGGATGTGCTACCGCCGGCGCCGGAGGAGCTTTGGAAGTATCTGGAGGGGAGGTTGGAATTAGCGACTGTTTGAGATCAGTGGGTTGAATCATATGTTGGTGGGTGTATGAAGCATAGGATGTAGAGGGTGCTAGAGTCGGTGGAAGTCTGATGCATGCGCGGATTTCAATACGCAGGCTGGGTGGTCTCATGTGTAATCATCCCATTCTTTCTGAATCTGTGCTAGGCATCTTGCACGAGCAGTAGTTGTTTGATTATTGAAATAATTGGGAGATAGACCTCAAGGCAGAACTCTAAGCGCACGGGTGCCAGGTAAAGTGTAGGAAAATCTGGCTGAACGACATCGATGTCGAAATTTGATAACAGACATACTACACGCTTGTGGAGGTCTCTTGTCTGAAGCTGCCGGAGAAAAAACTTTCAGAGATGACAAAGTCAAGATCGACAGTCATTTTACTGCATATCGCATGCGACAGAGTGAAATCTGACAGCGTCAGATTTACGTCTTCAGCTGTACCGCCGGACGGCATGCGTTCATGGTTGAACAATGAGGTGTTTCAGGACAGCCTGCACCAACACCTAACAGTACCTTGATTCAGTCCCGCTGGACGAGGGATACAGACAGATGAGACGACGCCAGACCTAACGTATTGAAATAACCAAGCGAGGTATAATATGACCAGGTCCCTTGGACCGCGGCCGCAAGAGTGGAAACGCGATAGCATAGCCAGGAAGTAAAAGAGAGGGAGAATAGAACACAAATTCATATACTCACGCATCAAGAGCTTGTTCCACATTCCAGCGAGATGCTTTCAAAAACTATATGCATACGACAAGTCAGTCATAGAGGAACACGTGATGAGCGCAGATAAGACTGGTTGGGCGATATGGCATCTGCCGAAGAAAGGGCAAAAGAAGCAATGAGACAGTGTATACCTTTGCAGCCACTGCATCCTTGGCTTGGGTGAGGTTCACGAATTGCATTATACATTGCTTCTGAGCAGTAGAGTAAGGCGGCATGGTGGGGTGAGGCAGGCAGTGGCCTGCGGGGAAGATATTGGCAGATGGAGGGGATGTAGGGGCTCGTTAGGAAGCCAACGAGAGAGTTAAGATGTGAAAGGTTGGTGGCTGTGAGCACACAGGCTGCAAAGGTGAGGAAATATACAGAAGTGCTGTTAATCGGCTGCTGAAATGACTTGATGGGGAAACTTCACATCTCCGAATCGAGCTGGCTGAGTGAGAGGTGCCCGTGCACGTGCCCCGCATCTAATATTCTAATCTTCTGCCAGCTTCACATCACATTTCCCAACACCACCACTCACGCCTAACATTCGGTGGAATTGGCTTGCTATTCAATATTCTAGGTGATACAGCAATGTCTGTAACGGTTTAATCTACTTTTATCATACTACAGGTGTCCAGCAGAGCCAAAATCACAGAAAATATCATGAGATAATAGATGGATAAGGTGAATTGAGAAACACTTTTCTAAATGTACAGACAGACGACTCCAGAACTCCTGCGAGAATGCCCAGGTATCTAGTATGAATCTCCCATGTTCGATCCCGCGTATGCAAGGCTTTGGCTTAGGTCGTAAACAGAGTATCTTCCTAGGGGAAAGTTAGCAATTTGATACGGTGGATATGATACTTCATCAACCTACCTCTCTCAGGTACTCTCCAATATCTGCCTGACGGAACACCACGTTGGCTGTGGGCTCCAGTCTCCGGGTCTCAGCACTCGACCGGGCAGTCACACCGAATCCCTATTGTCCATCAGCCTTGGTTACCTCAATCCACCCAAGGGTCTCTTACCAATGGCGTATCATTCATATCCATAACAATGACACCCGCATTCTCCGGGCAATCCTCGCTGAATCTTCCGACGTGGGCCTTGGCCACGTTGGAGCCATAGAGGAACGGCATCACACCGTTCTGCTTGATCCACACCTTGTAGCGCGCATGGGGAGCGAGGACATCCAAAGCCGTAAGCTGGATTCTGAACTTTCCGGTCTTGGTGAACTTTCCGATGCAGGTTCCGAGGGTGAGGAGGTTGGCGCGAGGGATGCTGGTTGCGAGGTTCGCCAGAGAAAGTCTCAGGTAGTATACTCTGCTGCCGTGGAGACGGAAAACATAGCGGTCGTTGGCATCTTCGGAGGCAGAAGGAGGAGCGATCAGGTTGTTAAGACTCCTTCCAGTGTAATTGGCCAACTTTTCGAACAAAGTCCGGGTTTCCTCTATGCAGAAACGATATGAGAACCCATGCGCAAGAATCACAACAGACGGAGATGGTTGCACCTACCTTCGGTGAGTTGACGCATCTTGAAAGACTGTTTCAGTTCACTGCACTAGACGCGAAAACTGAATAGAATATAAACAAGCAGAAAAGCGCAGGAAGATTTCCAGACGCGATTGCGATGCAGCCTTTGTAAGTCGAAGCTCCGCGGGAACAAAAATTCTAGACAAGGTGGAGCGGCCGCCTTTAGCGTCCAGGTCTTGGCACCGCAGAAAAAAAGTTTCGGACAGTCAACCCGCGCAAACAACTTGCCGCTACCACACCCCAGAATATACCCCAGGCACCGCGAAATGGCTCCTGCACGTACGACTAAACGGAGACGGGTGAGCCCTCCTGGAGATGAGGAGCGTGGCTCCAAATCCTCCGGTGGTGCGTCTACCAGCGACTTCTACAGCAATGCCGCCGAGTGGGACCTCGAACAAGACTATGAGCAGCGCCCGCGCAAATTGGGCAAGAAGGACAAGGAACAAACGAGATTGCCTATCAAGACTGCGGAGGGTCTACAAAATGTGGCAGAACCGGAACCTGAGCCGGAGGCTGAAGAATCCGACAGCTTTCTGGGCACCGATGACGACGAGGATATGGAGGATGCGGATTCCGATGAAGATGAGGAAGAGGTTGAAGAAGAGAAGCCGAAGATCCCATTGAAGCTGCAAATTATCCAGACCAAGGAGGAACTTGCCCGACTTGCTACGTTAATTAACGAAGATCCGGAAGAGAACATGCCGCTATTCAAGACAATGGCCGAAATCATGGAGAGGGGAGAGCATGTTGCGATCAAGAAACTGGCCTTGGCCGCCCAGGCCGCAGTGTACAAGGACGTTATTCCTGGCTACCGAATTCGACCCCTCGGCGACGAAGACTTGTCCGCGAAAATCTCCAAGGAAGTGCGCAAGCTACGGACATTCGAACAATCCCTCCTTTCGAACTACAAGCATTACGTCCAGAAGCTGGTGGATCTCACGAAACCAGCCAAGAAGGACGGACCCCAGGTGGATCCTGGCCTCAAGAGCATTGCGATCAACTGCGCCTGCAACCTGCTGCTTTCCGTGGCGCATTTCAACTTCCGTAGCGAGCTCTTGAAGATCCTCGTCAACCGCCTCGCCCGGAAACAAGTCGATGCCGATTTCGTCAAATGTCGCGAGACAATGGAGGAGGTTTTCATAAGGGACGAGGACGGAGTCGTGTCACTCGAGGCTGTCCGTCTGCTGTCGAAGATGATGAAGGCGAAGGAATTCCGCATCAACGAGACCGTCCTGGATACCTTCCTCCACCTCCGTCTGCTGTCCGAATTCTCCCGCAAGGCGTCAAGAGACAGAATCGATCGCGAAGAAGAAGAGGAGACCCCGCAATTCGGCAAGAAGCCCAAGCAGAAGCGCGAGTTCCGCACCAAGCGGGAACGCAAGGTCCAGAAGGAGCGCAAAGCAGTCGAGAAGGACATGAAGGAGGCCGACGCCTTGGTCTCCCACGAGGAGAGAGACAAGAACCAAGCAGAAACGCTTAAGCTCGTCTTCGGCGTCTACTTCCGAATCCTCAAGCTCCGCATCCCCAAGCTCATGGGCCCCGTCCTCGAGGGTCTGGCCAAGTACGCCCACCTGATCAACCAGGACTTCTTCGGTGACTTGCTGGAAGCACTCAAGGACCTAATCGGCCACGCCGATCGAGCCGAAGAGGAAGAAGAAGAGGAGGAGACAGACGAAACCAACGAAGCAGAGCCAGCCACGACACGCGACGCCCAGCGGGAAGCCCTCCTCTGTACCGTCACAGCCTTTGCACTCCTGGAAGGACAAGACGCCAGCAAGGCCGCCAGCACACTCCACCTGGACCTGAGTTTCTTCGTAAAACACCTCTACCGCTCGCTCTACAACCTCTCCATCAACCCCGACGTCGAATTCAACCCCGACAAATCCCTCCGCCTCCCCGACCCCAACTCCCCTGAAGCAAACCCGGCCTACCGATCCAGGAAGAAGGTCAACTTCCAAACGCCCATGGTTCTGCTCCTTCGCTGCTTGCAATCTACTCTGATTTCCCGCGCACACGGAATGCCCCCTCCCGTCCGCCTAGGCTCTTTCTCCAAGCGCCTGATGACATCCTCGCTTCAGCTGCCCGAGAAGTCCGCCCTCGCGACACTCTCGCTCATGAACCAGGTGGCCAAGCATAATGCACGCCGCATCTCCTCGCTCTGGCACAGTGACGAGCGCAAGGGAGACGGTGTGTTCAATGCGTACGCTACCGATATCGAGGCGACTAATGTCTTCGCGGGCACGATCTGGGAGGGAGAGTTGTTGCGCCAGCATTACTGTCCTCAGGTTCGGGATGCTGCGTTGGATGTAGAGAAGATGATTGCGACGCGGAAATAGAGTCATTGTTTTAATTAGCGGGTCAATTTTATCTATCTTACGCCTTTTCCTTACTACTATTTCGCATCCCATTTTGAATCTTTTTCTATTCATTATCATTATCATTATCTGTTCACCATTCCCATAGAGTATCCGATACCCGGTAAAATGAAACAAATGAGAAACTCAGAGAACTCCCCTTTTTTTACTTCCTTTTCCTCCAACTCCGAATCCATAAATATGCCCATAAAACACCATTGACACCTCACCTCAATCCCATCAATAATCTCATAATACCCACTCAATCAACCGCAGAGCAACAAGTCACAGAGAAAAAAGAAACATACCATCGCTCGTCATGATAAAACTCAATAAAACATAAAGTCATGACATCGTCCACCTCATAAGTAAAAGAAAACAAAGAAGTAATTGACTGAGACTTGACTGACAGTTCAGCCGTTCAGCCAGCCATTCCACTATCATCAATCATACTTTCACCAACCCATCACCATTCAAATTTTACTCACTCGTCGACCCTCTCCAACGTTCCACTTCGATGTCTACCCGACCCTTCTCTCTTCCGTCCAAGGCTAACAGTGGTAGTAATAGTATTCGAGGAAATCAGCTCAAGCGGAAGCGGAGGCGGACGACGAGGTCTGGGGGGAGGACCACCACTACGACCACCAGTATTACCATGCGAATGCGAGAGCCCGACAGGAGTCGTAGTAGTAGTAGAAGAACCAATTGAGCCAGACGCAGTCGAGGCAGGAACAGGGTGTCTGAAAATCGGGTACGGGTTATCGAAGCCCTGCTGCTGCTGCTGCTGCTGCTGCTGCTGCTGGGGAGTTGAGTTCAAGCTGCGAGATGGCACAGCAGGCAGCCTATTCTTATACACATCTGGAAGAGGCCAGCCGTGCAGAGTAGGAGGAGGTGAGGAGGAGGTACTCTCAGGAGTAGAAGTGCCAGCACCGCCGATGGAAGAGTGAGATTTCGATAGCTTGAGCACGCCGGGACGTCGAGCAGGAGTGGGACTTGGAGTCGTCAGCATGGCAAGCTGGTGCTTTTCGAGACGGATGCGTTCGAGGTCGCGCTCAGCGAGGATTTTGCTTTGCTCGGGGGTGCGTAGGACTGGATGATGGATGGTGCTGGGGTCCAGGCTTGGATCGTGGCTGGGATTGGGGGTGGTAAGCTTGTCTTGTGCCTTGTTGTTGTCGACAGGTTGAGGTTTGTTCTCCTGCGTGCAGCTGGCGTTATTATCACTGTCACGGTGACGAAGTAGGTTGAAGAAGCTGCGTTTGGGTACAGGTTTGTCCATCTTGGGCTGTGCAGCAGATGTGAGTAAGGCTTCGGCTTGTTCGATTGCTGGCACGAGCAGGTCTGGCAGATCGAGGAAAGTAGATGCTTTGGGAGTGGGGGATCCTGAAGTGTCCTCATAGTCATCTTTCCAGGCAACTCGCTTTTCAGTGATTTGGTGATGGTGGTCTCTGACGCTCAGGTAAGCGGAGGACGAGCTATTCACAAGATTGGCACTGCGTAACACGCTCGACGGGGCTGC